TATTAATGCACTGGGGGCTGGAGAGATGGCTCAGTGTTAGGAGCACTGCCTACTCTTCCAGAGGTCCTGAGTTCAACTCTCAGCAACCACATGGTGGCTCACAACCATCTCTAGTGGGATCTGATGTCCTCTTTGGCATACAGTTGTACATGCAAATAAAGCACTCATATACATAAATAAATAATAAAAATCTTTAAAAATATATTAATACAGTGTGTAATTACTGCTTTTTTCCTGACAAGAGTGCCAGGCTACAAATGTCCGAGTATGCTTGAGAATTATTTTAATTTACAAAACTTGACTCAAGCTTCTGTTTGTAGATTTAAATTTGAGGACAGATTCTGAAAAAAAAATGCAAAAGTCCACAAATGTACATCAGAATGAAGCCCTAGGCTTACAGCACATTAAAGCACCTAAACCCACAGGAGCCAAAGGGAGACATTGCACCATATCCAACAGGATGCATAGTGGCTGCAAGCAAAGTGGAGGCTGGTGGCCTAGAGTGCTTTCTGCTGGAGTCCTTGCATCCCTTTTGATGCTTAAGCCTCTCAGTTTTCTCTCCTAATCTGTATCATTCTATTAAGCTGCAAATCAGCTCTGTTTTTCCATCTCTTCCAGATCACACCGAGGGGATCTTAACTATTTCCTGACTCTTGTTTTTTTTTATGCTATGAGCCACCCATTATAAAATAAATTATGTATCTTTCTTAATGTTTTGAATAGCATGTTTTCCTTAACACTATTATTCTATTTCATGTTTAATGGGATGTTTTTTGTACTAAAATTGTTAAAGATGCAAAGAACTCTTAGAACAAAAGAAGTCGGCATAATATTGAAATTATAAACATGCAAAGCTTGAATTGAGAGTTCCAAATGAAAGCTTTTGAATCTTTGTTAATGATCTTTTGATTTGTGCAGACAGCATTTTACAGTGGGCGGAAGAATGAATGCCTGCTTTCTCTGAAGTCCTGACATCTATTGGTAAAGTCATACTAGGATTTATTCTAGCAGCAATTAAAAAAAAACTGCAAAAAGAAAACCTTTCTATTCTTGAAATAGAAAATGGGCACATGCTTTGCATAATTATGTAAAATTTTCAAAAGCACACATTCTGTGATGAAACTTTAAACATAGTTTTAGTGCCAATAATCAAGCATAATTACTTTTTCTAGACTTGCTGTAGCTCAGATGAGTCTGGCCTCAGCGTCCACGTGTTGGTGTTGAGAGGTGGGGCTTTTGAGAGGTAGCATGTATTTGTTAGCATTTCCTCAACTTTAGATGGTCATGTTCATTGTGGCTCACAGTTTCAGAGCTTTCAGACCATGGTTACTTTGCCCCATGCTTCTGGGCCTGGGCAAAGAGCACATCATGAACATGAGATGGTAAAAGCTGCTGACCTCCTGGTAGTAGGAGGACAAAGAGAGAAAAGCCCTGTATTCTACAATTCCCTTGAAAGGTACACTTACACTCATCCATATAGGTCCCCCTTAAAGCTTTCTAAGGGTGTCAAGTTGATGACCTAGACATTACTAGATTGGCAGCTGGGAGACATTCAGACCCAAAGTAGCAAAGGGCTGAGTAACAAGTCCTCTGCAGGGTTTGAGGCGGCTCCTGTGGGCGTCTAACTCCCCCGATTCATCCTCCAAAGAAGCCTGAGCCTGGTGTCTGAATCTTAGCTAGTTTGTCCCAGAGACACTACTGCTTGCTCCCAACCACACTCCACTGTGACCATCCACCATAGAGCGTTATTCAGAACATACACAGGCTGTTTGAATTTTCACTGAGTTAAATAAATCTTTTTTTAAGTTTATTTTGAATCATGTATTTAACTGTTGTGCTTAAAACAGCAATGACAAACTAAGCAGACACAGTCTGTCTGAATGGAATTATGGTCACAGCTAAACAGGAAACAGGAATTGAACAAGAGCAGGTTCTTGATAAATATCGTGATACTACATCTTCCCAGCAAAAATGTAATTTCTTTTATTTAAATTACTTTTTTTCCATTTACTTTACATACCAACTGCAGATCCCCCTCCCTCTTCTCTCACCCACCTACCCCCACCCTACAACCCCCACTTCCCATTTACCCCTCTCCCCTTCCACTCCTCCTCTGCCTCCATTCAGAAATGGGGAGGCCTCCCCTGGGCTTGAGCAAAGCATGGCACATCAAGTTGAGGCAGAACCGAGCTCCTCCCCTTGCATCAAGACTGTGCAATGTCATCCAGCATGGGGACCAAGTTCCCAAAAGCCAGCTAAAGCACCAGGGACAGGTCCTGATTTCAATGCTAGAAGCCTTACAAAGACATCAAGCTACACAATTGTCACACACATGCAGAGGTGCTAGATCGGTCCTATGGAAGCTCCCTAACAGTTGGTCCATGAGATCCCACGAGCTCAGGTCAGCTGTCTTTGTGGGTTCCCCCAACCAGACCTCCCTAGCTTGTACAATCTCCCCTCCCTTTCTTCAGCAAGACTCCAAGAGCTCAGCTCTGTGCTTAGCTGTCAATCTCTGCATCTGCTTCAATCAGTTACTGAATAGAGTATCTCTCATGACAATTAGAGTAGTCATCTGATTACAGTAGATGGCCAGTTCAGGCACCCCCTCCACAAGGGTTGCCCTTGTGGATTCCTGGGGGTTTCCCTGGTTCCAGGTTTCTCCCTAAGCCCCATCAAGAAGTCTGTTTCCTTACTCTCCCCCTCCATCCGGCCTCCATGCACAGAGCCTGCCCAACCTGCTCCCTCAAGTTTCCATCTCTCTATATTCCTCCCCCCCAAGTCTTCGAGTTTACTCAGGAGATCTCCACTATTTTCCCTTCCCAGGGAAATCCATGCATCCCTCTTTGGACCCTCCTTGTTTTCGAGACTCTCTGGGGATGTAGATTGTAGGTTGGTTATCCTATACTTTACTCCTAATACTTACTTATGAGTGAGTACATACTATGTTTGTCTTTCTGGGTCTGGGTTACTTCACTCAGATTTTTTTTTCTAGTTCCATCCATTTGCCTGCAAATTTCATAAGGTCATTGTTTTTTTAATCACTGAGAAATACACCATTGTGTAAATGTACCATATTTTCCTTATCCATTCTTCAGTATAGGGATATCTAGGTTGTTTCCAGATTCTGGTTATTAGGAATAATGCTGCTATGAACATAGTTGAGCAAGTGTCCTTGTGGTATGATTGAGCATCCTTTGGGTATATGCCCAAGATTGGTATAGCTGTGTCTTAAGGTAGATTGATTCCCAATTTTCTGAGAAACTGCCATATTGATTTCCAAAGTATCTGTACAAGTTTGCAATTCCACCAGCAGCAGAGGACTGTTTCTCTTACTCCATATCCTCTCCAACATAAGCTATCATCAGTGTTTTTGATATTAGCCATTCTGACAGGTGTAAGATGGTATCTCAGAGTTATTTTGATTTGCATTTCCTGGATGACTAAAGAGGCTAAGCAATTCCTTAAATGTGTTTCATCCATTTGAGATTCTTCTGATGAGGATTCTCTGTTTAGGTCTGTACCCCATTTTTAATTGGATTATTTGGTATTTTGATATCTAGTTTCTTGAGTTCTTTATATAATTTGGAGATCAGTCTTCTGTCAGATGTGGGGTTGGTGAAGGTCTTTTCCCACTCTGTATGCTGCTGTTTTGTCTTTTTTGACCATGTCCTTTGCCTTACAGAAGTTTTTCAGTTTCTGGAGGTCCTATTTATTAATTGTTGATCTCAATGTCTGTGCTACTGATGTTATATTAAGGAAATGGTCTCCTGCGCCAATGCATTCGAGGCTACTTTTGACTTTCTCTTCCATTAGGTTCAGTATTACTGGATTTATGTTGAGGTCTTTGATCCACTTGGACTTGAGTTTTGTACAGGGCAACAGATATGAATCTTTTTGCATTCTTCTACATGTCAACGTCCATTATGCCAGCATCATTTGTTGAAGATGCTTCCCATTGTATAATTTCGGCTTCTTTGTAAAAATGAAATGTGGATTTATGCTAGGGTCTTCAATTTGAATCCATTAATCCACATGTCTATTTTTATGCCAAATACCAAGCTATTTTTATTACTATAGCTCTATAGTAGAGCTTGAAGTCGGGGATGGTAATTTCTCCCGAAGTTGCTCTATTGTACAGGATTATTTTAAATATCCTGTGCTTTTTGCTTGTTTGTCTTTCCACATTAAGTCGAGTATTGTTCTTTCCAAGTCTGTGAAGAATTGTGTTGGGATTTTGATGGGGATTTCATTGAATCTGGAGATTGCTTTTAGTTAGATTGCAATTTTAACTATGTTAATCCTACCTATCCACGAGCATGGGAGATCTTTCCATTTTCTGACATCTTCTTCAATTTCTTTTTTCAGGGACTTAAAGTTCTTGTTATACAGATCTTTCATTTGCTTGGTTAGAGTTACCCCAAGATATTTTATGTTATTTTTGGTTATTGTAAGGGGTGTTGTTTCTCTGATTTCTTTCTCAGCCCATTTATCATTTATATATAAGAGGGCTACTGATTTATTTTTGAGTTAATCTTGTAACCTGCCACATTACTGAAAGTGTTTATCAGCTGTAGGAGTCACTAATGTATGCTATCACATGATTTGCAAATAGCAAGAGTTGGACTTCTTCTTTTCCGATTTGTGTCCCCCAATGTCCTATTGTCCTATTGCTTTAGCTAGAACTTAGAGTACTATATTGAATATATTATGGAGAGAGTGGATAGCCTTGTCTTGTTCCTAATGTTAGTGGAATCCCTTTGAGTTTCTCTCCATTTAATTTGATGTTGGCAATTGGCTTGCTATATATTGCCTTTATTATGTTTAGATTTGTTCCTTGTATTCCTGATCTCTCCAAGACTTTTATCATGAAGGGGTATTGGATTTTGTCAAAGGCTTTTTCAGCACTGAATGAAATGATGGTGTGTTTTTTTTTCCCTTTCATTTGTTTATATGGTAGATTACCTTGACAGATTTTCATATTTTGAAGCATCCCTGCACCTCTGAGATGAAGCCTACTTGGTCATGGTGGATGATTTTTTTGATGTATTCTTGGATTCAGTTTGCTAGTATTTTATTGAGTATTTTTGCATCAATGTCCATTGGTCTGTAATTCTCTTTCATTGTTGCATCTTTGTGTGGTTTAGGTATCAGGGTAACTGTAGAGTTATAAAAATTGGCAGTGTTGTTTCTGTTTATATTGTGTGGAACAATTTGAGGAATATTGGTATTAGCTCTTTGAAATTCAGGTAGAATTCTGTGCTGAAACCATCTGGTCCGGGGCATTTTTGATTGGGAGGTTTTAATGACTGTTTCTATTTCCTTAGGGGTAATGGGTCTATTCAAACTGTTTATCTGGTCTTGATTTAATTTTGGTATGTGGTACCTATCAAGAAAGTTGTCCATTTCTTTTAGACTTTCCAATTTTGTGGAAGATAGGTTTTTGAAGTATGATCTGATGATTCTCTGAATTTCCTCAGTGTCTGTTGTTATATCCCCCTTTTCACTTCCAATTTTCTTAATTTGGATATTCTTTCTCTGCCTTTTAGTTAGTTTGTATAGGGTTTATCTTTCTTGCTGATTTTCTCAAAGAACTAATTCTTTGTTTCTTTGATTCTTTGTGTTGTTCTTTTTGTTTCTACTTTATTGATTTCAGCCCTGAGTTTGATTATTTCCTTATGTCTACTCCTCCTCGGTGAGTTTGCTTCTTTTTCTTCTAGAGCTTTCAGGTGTGCTGTTAAGGCACTAGTGTGAGATTTTTCCAAATTCTTATGTGGGTACTTAGTGCTCTGAAGCTCCCTCATAGCACTGCTTTCAATGTGTCTCAGAAGCCTGAGTATGTTGTACATTCATTTCCATTGAATTTTAGGGACTCTAATTTTTTTCTTTATTTCTTCCTCAACGCAGTGGTAATTCAGTTGAGACTTTTTCAGTTTCCATGAGTTTGTAGGCTTTCTGTAGTTTGCATTGTTTTTTAATTCTAACTTTATCCCATGGTGATCCCATAAGATACATGAGGTTATTCTGATTTTCTTTTGTATCTGTTGAGATTTGCTTTGTGACTGAGTATGAGGTCAGTTATAAAGAAGGTCTTATGAGGTGCTGAAAAGAAGGTATACTCTTATGTGTTTGGGAGAAATGTTCCATAGATATCTATTACATCCATTTGAGTCATAATATCTTTTAGGTCCCTTATTTCTCTATTAAGTTTCTGTCTGGCAGACCTCTCCATTGGTGAGAGTAGGGTATTGAGATATCCCACTATTAATGTGTGGGGTTTGATGTGTGATTTAAATTTTAGTAATGTTTCTTTCATAAATGTGGGTGTCCTTGTATTTGTTGTATAAATGTTCAGAATTGAGATTTCATCTTGATGGATTTTTCCTGTGACAAATAATGAAACGCCCTTCTTCATGCCTTTTGATTAATTTTGATTTGAAGTATATTTTGGTAGATATGAGGATAGCTACACCAGCTTGCTTCTTAGGTCCATTTGATTAGAAAATCTTTTCCCAACCATTTACATAGCAGTATGTCTGGGTTTAGAGGGGGAGTGAGCCAATTCCACCTCTAAAGCCAGCTTGCTATATTTGGGAATTTGGGCATAGCATCTCTTGCTACTTCCTGCTGGAGGGGGGCGCTGTATCTTATGGGGACGCAAAGAAAATTTTAGGCCTATGGGGTAGTCCTTGAGGCTGTATTGTGGGAGCCAGTTGCCTTGAAACCGTTCTTGATGTTGGATC